ACCAAAAGTCAAAATGAGAACATCTTAGGAGGACAGAGGGAGTAGAACTTTTCTTTTGTGTGCTTCCTATTTTAGTAAGAGCCTTTCTTTTAAGTTCTCTTTGCAAACTTGAAAAATGACTATCGAAAAAATGATCTTTGGAAAATTGACTATTTTTTAGAAATAATTTACTTTTTTAGTGTGTTTGGATGAAAATTTGAAAATTATCTGTTTCTCTTTGATTCATTATTGGAAAATTACGATTAAAAATTAAGAAAATTAGATTTGAACACCATCCAATTGAAAGTGGAATGGGGATGGAAATTCAAACACTTGAAATTAAATATCAGATGATATTCGTGCAAAGCTTGGAATCAGACCCTTCGAAGAAAATTTGGGATGGAACGATGCAATTCAAAGCACCAGGCCTCGATCTGTTGTCTTCCGCTTCTTGTGTAACGACCTGAAAACTAGTTTAGTAGTTAGCCTTTATTTTAATAAAAATAAATATAATATTTTTTTACTCAAAAATATGAAGTATTCGTAAATTTGACATTTTTATTTGAAAATTCTGTTTTTGGACAGATCTCGTAAAATGATGACCAACGGTATATGATTTGTTAAGTTTGAACTTACGTATAAAGCGTGATGAGTGAAATAGACATTACAGTTCAATAAATAAATATAAAAATTTTATAATGTAATATAATAAAAATAATAATAATAACAATAATAATAATAAAACTACAACTCAAGTTCTTAAAACAAACAAATCCTAAATTAAATCGTATTAGAAGCCCAAATCCACTCCATTACAATACTACATATAAATATCTGTTTATACGGAGTACCGAGGGGCGTCTTTGTTGATGCACAACTTCAAGTGTCCTCTCCACCAAACACCGACCGAATCGGGCCAAGGAGCTACGCCGGAGTATTTGCCGAAAATAGCCCAGCTAATATTTGGCGTCGTCACCCTTTGCCGTCATTCTTTGTGTTTAATGTTGATTTGTTTGGTTCGTCTAATTCGTCAATTAATCGAGGAGAGTACATGGACATCTGACGCTAGATTATTCGTATAGATTTGAAATTCACGTTCGTGATCTCGTATGATTGATTATGTGATCTATTTGATTATAATTCGAATTATGATTTATTAAAAATATATGATATTATTGGAATTGATTGGTCAAGGAAGTCCATGTACGTTTTCTTACTCTAATTTGCGTGACCTACGTGTTAATAATCTCCAAAAACATTATACGTATTGAATGGTTTGAAATTGGATCGAAATCTGTTGTATCAATGTTTTCCCGACGTCAAACAGTTGCTAGGTACCGCCACAAAATGATTTTTTTTGTCGGTACCTAAGCCCGAACGTGGGGGGGTACTGGATCGATGGTACCAAGGTACCACCAGGCGGTACCAAGGTACCGTAATAGATACTGGACTGGTAGACTATATGCCCGTTTTTTTGTTTGTTTGTCTCGATTCAAATCCCAGATTGATTTCAAGGTCTTGTATGTTACATGACGGTAAGTAGAAGGTGTTCACACCCGACACTAAGCCATTAATTGTTAAGTATGCATGTTTACTATGATTTTGTAAGAGTTAGAGAATACGAAATTATGAACTTGAATATGGATTGGCTACCTAGCTGAACTATAAGTAGACCGAGAATTAGAATAAGAATAGACATGTGATGAGTTGGCGGTTGGATAAAGCATGTGCAGGGGGTCGTAGATCTATTCATGAATGTGAGTAGGTGGTTCCACCCACCCGATGTTGGATGACATCGTATCAAGCTCGTTCTTCCATGAATGTGGTTGAATTAGGACTCTGGAGAGAATAAAGAATTGACCTTAGCCTAGGTTAAATTATGAACTTAGAATTAAGAAAGATTAGTTATGAGCTTTGGATATGGATTTTGTATCATAAATGCCTAACTTAAGAATGAGGTAATTTGGTAATCTAGGTTAGTAGGTTTGATTTATGAATTGTTTGATATTATAGATATTATTGATGTTTTACTTGTGTCCGTGATATTGTATGAAATTATGAGCTAGCGAGTTCATCTATATGCATTGTCGAACGTAATATATTTCTCACTTAACTTCAATGCTGAGCGTGTGACGTTTGTTCTCTTGCTATCCCTAGGTAACACGAATAACGATTAAGGAAACAATGATGGAGGGCAGTGATGGTGAGGAGATGGATGGTTTCCGGCTAAAAGAGTTCACTTAAGTAAATATATCATTTAAATTTATTATATTTTCGGTCAAGAACCCAAAGTTGTGTTTGAATTAAGTACTTGAAGCTTCCGCACCATTTTGTTAACCTCCATGGATTTATAAATATCGTTTTCGAATTAAATGTTTTAAAGTGTTTTGAAAACTATTGTGCTTGGATGCAAATTTAATGACAATCCGATCCACTGGTCCTTGTATTTGGGTCATGCGGGTCAAGGTGTTACACCTTGCGATAGACAGAATCTAGTTATGGTTTAGAAGAAGATGATGCAGAGAAGAAGAAGCGAGAGGGGCCAGGAAGAAGAAGAAGAAAGGAGAAGCAAGAGAGGTCACAGGGAGAAACAAAAGAAGCAAGAATGGAATCGCAGTAGGGGGTGAGATGAACCTGAGAGCTCCATTCTTCAATTTCTTCATCTTCTGCTTCTATAGGTACCCAAATTAATTTGCTTCCGAACTTAATTCGGAAGTCATACCATTAATTTTTCAATTCTTTTTTTGTTTCTATGTATAAGTGTTGTTTTCTCTCAATATATCATTTTTTTGTTACTTGTTCTTGTAAAAAATTCTAAAAAAATTCTAAAAAAAAGTATGGTTGGTGTTTTTTTTGGGTATATGTTCTTTTTGAATATTTATATTAAATTCATTATGAATGAGAATTGATTCATGCTAATTTTCTTCAATTATTACACAAGTTGTTGTTGAATTAGTTGAAATGTTAATTCAATTTCATGAGTAGGTTGGTATGTTGAGTTCGGTTTTTGTTGAAGCTATTCTAGCTCCATGTTATAGTTAGAATATTTCCGAATTCATGTGTGTTTCTTTGTTGTGCTTATGTTCGTTGGTTTTTAGGATTTTGGACTTCTTAGCCCATAAGATGAGTCATTTTCCTTAGAATTCGTTATAGAGTGATTTTGTTATGTTTCATAATTTCGTTTGTTATTTTTATAAATTTAGATTGTTTAAGTGCACTAAACAATTCTTGATTTATTGAAAATATATTGTGTTTATCTATGTGGATAGAAAAAACGTCATTGATTTGAGAAGCTCATGGAAATCTCTGAAATGTGCTCATCATTAGGAAAAAAGGCTTATTAAAATACATAATTTATTGACGGTTTGTGAAGAGATTATGTATGAGAGTTAAATGCATAATAAGTTCTCTCTTTTATAAACTTTTTTTTATAGTAAAAGTATGTTTTCATGCTTGAATAGAGTGTTGGGGTTCAAAAGAATATTTCAAAATGAGCCTTTGAATTACATGACTCCAGGCCATGTGGAGAATTGACAATCCTCCATATCGTGGTTAAAGAAATGAATCGACTCGGCCTTTGGTTTTTCCTATTCTTAAGTGCATAAGTTACGTAATATATTGTCTACGTGCCTATTATACGTTAATGTTCGGCTTGTGTTTGTTCTCTTTTTCATTTTGTTTCGGGTTCTTGGCAGTGTTACTTGGATTACCTAAGTTGGAGAAGTTGAGTATCTTTAAAGCTTATTTCCTCCTATTTTATAAAAAAAAACCAAAAAATAAGAAAAACAAAAAATCCAAAAAAATATTTACTTTTGATCCAACACCCTCCCTTTTGTTATATTGTTTTAGTTTATAATATAAGTTTTTTACTAAGTTATATTATAAGTGTTTGTTTATAAGTTATAAATATAAGTTTTATAGTTTTTAGTATATCTTAAGTATTTGTTATGAGTTTTTACGTTATATTACAAGTTCTTCATTTATATAAGTTATATTTATAAGTTTTTATATTCATTTAATTAAAAGTTTTATAAGTGTTATCATATATGTAGTAGTTTATTTGTTTTGTTCAGTGAGAATGTGTGTGCATGCTTAAATGATTTCAAAAAAATACTAACTTTATCCATGGGATCGACCCTTACTTACACTAGCTATAGTGTTTGTTTAATTATATCTTTGGGGTTACTTAAGGTTATTTATAAATTTTTAATTTGTTTTGGACCGTACGACAGGTCTTCAACAAGGAGCTTCACACTGCGAATCCGTTCAAATTAGCTGGGTTCTACTTCCCTTACGGTAACTTCATGATGCCCCACTCAAATGGAAAGAAAGTGACCAATTCTAAACCACCAATTGGCGTCGAAATCATCACTGGTGTTGAGGGGACTTCCAATGTTGGAGTTCCAAAAAAAGGTCAGGGCTCAGGAGAATGCCATGTTGCCCTCCCACATATGACGCCAGTCTGAGCTACTTGCTCATCTTGAAGCTGCTATTTCTAACATGGTTAGTGAGACTCTAGATCCTTCCTGGGTTCATCATGACAGAGATGTTAAAAGATCCTAGTCTTCTGGCACCGTCCTTGGTGAGTTCGTCCAGTTATGGTAAAGAAGCTTCAAGCCCTCCGCAGATCCATCGTAATGATAGGACTACTAGGTCATGGGGTGACACCAATCCTGAAATCCTCTCCACTTCATGGGAGATGGGGGGCCCCTCATAGCCCCCTTGTGTTCAAGTTCTAGACAAACCGGATTCGTCTTCTAGGGTTCTGCTGTAACGCCCTGAAATCCGGCTTAGTATTTTTAATTAATTTGTATAATTAGTTAATTACTAAGTCAATCGATACAAATATTATTTTCTAATTTGTGTATTTAATTTGAGAGTTGACCTACATTGTAGGGCTCGCTGTTCTGAACCCGACCGCGCAAACGGATTGAGAATCAAACTTACTCGGCCAAAGTTACGACTGCCATATGAGGCAATTGGGCTTAAATTTATCCTAACTAGTTGCGAAGTATAAATTGGACCCTAAAACCTATTTAATTTTATACTCCCTCCGTCCCATAAAGTGTTACCCATTTTGACTAAAATAGAAATTAAGAGAGAGATAATTTTGTGTTGACTTTCCAAAAATATCCTTGATGTGATGGGTAAAAGTAGGATGTGATGTGTAAATTATTAGGAAAAAGGTATGATGTGATATGTAGGGTTTGAAAAAGTAAGGGGTAAAATTGGTTTTTTAATAGAAATGGGTAGGAGATTGTGGGACACAATTTTTTTGAAAGATGTAAATTTTTTTGGGACCCAGATTAAATAGGAGGAGGGGGTTACGACACTTTGGATCTCTTTCTTTTACGCTGGTCTCTGTTCGGTTCTTTTGATCGGTTCCTATTCGTCACCGACTGTGTTCGTCGCCGTCAACCAGCAACCCCAGCAAGCCGTCGAGTCCACCTAGAACGCCGTCATCGCCATCGCCGTTTCCCCTCCCTTCCCCTTCGCATAGAGTCCCCGAGATTTCCTTACCCTGTTTGTCGTCGTCGTCCAGCGGCTCCACGGCATCACCAACCGGCGAACTCCGTCCCTGAGTGTGAAGGATCAAGCTGCGCAGTCAGCTTCCACTTCTAACCACTTAGTGCCACCTGTCATTTCTAACTAATTTCCCTTGTATTTTGGATTTTCTGTTTGATCTGTTATGGTAGTTTATATAGCTAGTTTCTTCCTCCCTGTTAGATCAGATTTTTAGAGACAAATTTGAGCCTTAGTTTAATGGATTTTTCCTGCGTTTTTTTTACAATTTCTTCTTCTCCAAAGAAACTTAACATGGTATCAAAGCCTATCTTCAATGGCGTCTAGATTTCCGATTCTTCTGAAGGCTTGAATTCATATTCTGATTCTTCTACAATTGTTCGAGATATTCATGGCGGCGGAGAATTCTTCCTCGCACGTTCCAATCGACATACAAAGTGAATTGTATCTGCATCCCACTGATTCACCAAATTTTTCGCTGGCATCACAGAAATTGAACGGCGAAAACTTTCCGCAATGGAAAAGATCTGCTGAAATTGCGTTGAGAGCCAGAAACAAGTTAGGATTTGTTGATGGAAGCTCGAAACCACCAGATGTGTCATCTCCTACCTTCGCACAATGGAATCGTTGCAACAATCTGGTAATATCCTGGATTCTACACTCTATTGAATCTGGAATTGCGAATAGTGTATATACTGTGAATCTGCCAAGGAAATATGGGAGGATCTTGATGATCGCTTTGGACAAAGCAATGCACCAAAGCTATTTCAGCTGCACAAGGAAATAGTGATTATGGTTCAAGGTTCTGATTCTGTCTCTGAATATTTCACCAAACTGAAAGGACTTTGGGACACATACTTAACAATGATAGTTCTACCACATTGCAAGTGTGAAGGAGCTGGAAATTACATTAAACTGCTTCAGAATCAACAATTGATGCAATTTCTAATGGGACTTAATGATAGCTTCAAAACTGCTAGAGGTAATATCATTATGATGAAGCCTCTTCCTACTTTGAGCCAAGCCTACAAACTGATTGCTCAAGAAGAAACTCAAAGGGATTGCAGCAGCTCTAGTCCATTGAGCAGTGAGTCCAGTGCTTTGGCTTCATTGAATCATGTTTCTGTTGGCTTTAACAAACCTGTGTTTGGAATTACTCCTAGTGGAAGGAAGTCCAAATACGTCTGTCAGCATTGCAAAATCTATGGTCATTCAGTTGAAAGGTGCTTCAAAATCCATGGTTATCCTAAATCAAGTAAAGGATACACTTCTTCAAATGATCAAGGGAGTCAGGCAAGAAAGATTGCCGGGAATGTGGTTTCTGAAACAGAGAATGTCATGACTGGGCAAACTGTCAACACAAATCACGTTCATCATTCTGCTGAACTGCCTATGTCTCTCACCAGTGCTCAATATAATCAACTGATTGCCCTCCTAAATAAAGACAATCTTTCAGACAGAGATGATGGTGGAGTCCCTGGTTTTCTTTCCAGTCACATGGCCTCAAGTGGTCACTTAGCAGGTATTAGTCATTGTTTCTTTTCTTCATATGACAATACACAATGGATCATTGATAGTGGAGCCTCAGATCACATTACCCCACATTTGACTAATTTTTCTTCATTCAAACCCATTTCCAAATCTTGTTCCATCACCATACCCAATGGCCAAAAAGCCAGTGTGCTTCACATTGGAAATGTGAAGTTATCAAATGGAATTATCCTCTCTGATGTCCTTCATGTCCCAGACTTCCATTTTAATCTCATTTCTGTCCAAAAATTGGTTTCACAGCTGTCTTGTTCATTGATCTTTTATCCCTCCCACTGTTTGATTCAGGATCATGTGAAGAAGAATACTTTGCTGGTTGGTAAACAGCATGGGGGTTTATACTTTGTGCAACAGCTCACACCTCCAGTTTCACATGTCTCTACCACCTCTCCTTTGTCTTGTATGTCTGTTAGTGAGTTGTGGCATTGTAGATTGGGGCATTTGCCATCCAATAGAATAAAACACATTTTTCAGTTGCCTTGTATTGATTCTTCATCTTCATCTGTATGTCATGTTTGTCCTCAAGCACGTATGCATAAACTTCCTTTCATTTCCAGTTCAATAAAAACAACTTGTGTTTTTGAAATGTTACATGTTGATATTTGGGGACCATATAGAACTGCAACTTATTCTGGTCATAAATTCTTTGTAACCATTGTGGATGATTTCTCAAGAATTACTTATGTTCAACTGCTTTCCCACAAATCCGGTGCTTTCTCAGCCCTAACCAGTTACATTGCTTACATTCAGAAGCAATATAATGTTCATGTAAAGGTCATTCGTTCAGATAATGGGAAAGAATTTGATGATACCTCAGCCCAAACCTTTTATCAAACCCATGGGATCATCCATCAAACCACTTGTGTTGACACACCTCAACAAAATGGAGTTGTGGAAAGAAAACACAAACACCTTCTTGAAACAGCTCGAGCATTATTCTTTCAGGCCAAACTTCCTACTAAGTATTGGGGAGATTGTGTCTTGACAGCATGTTATCTCATAAACAGATTTCCTCTCTCTGTTCTCAATGATAAAAGTCCATTTGAAATACTTTTCAACACTCCACCAACATATGATCATCTCAAATTTTTTGGGTGTCTCTGTTTTGCTACCACTTTGGCTTCTCACAGAACCAAATTTTCCCCTAGAGTTGTGCCTTGTGTCTTCCTTGGTTATCCATTCCATAAGAAGGCTTACAAACTTCTTAATCTTCAAACCAGGCAAGTATTCTACAGCAGAAATGTGAAGTTTCATGAGAATTATTATCCTTTTCATAATCTCTCATGTTCTTCCTCTTCCATTCTTCCTAACCCCCCTCCTATTTCCTCTGATATTTTCTTCCATTCCACACATGATACTGACATTCCATCTTCTCTCACACCTGATGCCATTTTTCCTTCCACTCATATACAGCCANCACCTTTCAGTTCCTACCCAACCTAGGGTTTCAACAAGGCTCAGGAAACCTCCTTCCTACCTTGACCAATACAGCTGTTCTATTCTTCCTTCTAATTCCAAATCTCTAACATCTCATTGGTGCAACTTTGTTCATCTTAATCACCTCTCCCACAATCATCAAGCTTTTCTCACTCACCTTTGTTCCTACACTGAACCTACTTCTTATTCTGAGGCTTCCCAAGATCCTAGGTGGATTGTTGCTATGAATGAAGAAATAATGGCTTTGCAGGCTAATGATACTTGGGAACTTGTTGATCTTCCTCCTGGAAAGAAGGCTATTTCTAGCAAATTGATTTATAAAGTAAAGCTCAAATCTGATGGCAGTTTAGAAAGGTTTAAAGCCAGGCTTGTCATTCAAGGAAATCACCAAAGATATGGGATTGATTTCACTGAAACATTTTCTCCTGTAGTGAAAATGTCTACCATTCGCTGCATTATAGCTCTAGCTGCCTCTAAACATTGGGAGCTCTCTCAACTTGACATCAACAATGCCTTCTTGCATGGGGATTTAATAGATGAAGTCTATATGAAGATTCCCTTGGGGTTCCCCAAACCTTCCACCAAAGTTTGTAGGCTAAAGCAATCTCTCTATGGACTTCGTCAGGCTAGTAGACAATGGTTTCACACTCTCTCTACTGCTTTTTACAGTCAAGGATACATCCAGTCCAAATCTGATCCAAGCTTGTTCATCAAATACTCCAACAATCATATCACCCTTGCTGCTGTCTATGTTGATGATATACTTGTGACTGGGTCAGATCCTCAAGCTGTTATTTCCCTCAAACAATTCCTTGATGATCGTTTTACTATTAAGGATCTTGGCCTTGCTCATTACTTTCTTGGTTTTGAACTCAGTTACACTTCAGAAGGGATTGTACTTTCTCAAAGAAAATTTGCCCAGGAACTTCTTCTTGCTGAGCACCACTGTTTACATGACAAACCTGCCAAAACCCCTCTTCCTCAGAACTTTAAATTTCAACATGGTACATCTTCTCTTTGTACTGATCCCACTCCATATAGGAGTCTGATAGGCAAGCTTCATTTCCTCACACACACCAGGCCTGATATCTCATATTCAGTCCAGATTTTAAGTCAGTTTATGCAAGCTCCTGAGGTTGATCACATGAAGGGTGCCATTCATCTTCTCCATTACTTACTTGGTACCATAAATCAAGGCATTCTAATGAAAGCTTCTGATCAGTTATCTCTTCATGCCTTTTCTGATTCTGATTGGGCCTCATGTCCCTTCTCTAGAAGATCTGTTACTGGCTATATTGTCCTTCTTGGAGGTTCTCCAATAACATGGAAGTCCAAGAAACAAAGCACTGTTTCCAAATCTTCTTCTGAAGCTGAGTATAGGGCCATGTCTCAGGCTGCTTCAGAGGTTACCTGGTTGCTGCGCTTACTGGAAGAACTAGGAGTCTCAAATCTCAAGCCAATCACCCTTCATTGTGATGATCAATCAGCACTTCATATTGCCAAGAACCCAGTTTTTCACGAGAGAACCAAACACATTGACATTGATTGTCATTTTACGCGAGAGAAAGTTCTTGAAGGCTTAATTCAGCTCTCATATCTCCCTACCACTAATCAACTTGCTGATGTTCTCACCAAGATTCTGCCTGCTGATAAGTTTCAGACTTTGTTGTCCAAGCTGGGCATGGTTTCTCCTACACCCAGCTTGAGGGGGGGTGTGAAGGATCAAGCTGCGCAGTCAGCTTCCACTTCTAATCACTTAGTGCCACCTGTCATTTCTAACTAATTTCCCTTGTATTTTGGATTTTCTGTTTGATCTGTTATGGTAGTTTATATAGCTAGTTTCTTCCTCCCTGTTAGATCAGATTTTTAGAGACAAATTTGAGCCTCAGTTTAATGGATTTTTCCTGCGTTTGTTTTACAATTTCTTCTTCTCCAAAGAAACTTAACACTGAGGAGCATCGCCGGTGAGCGTGGCAGCGGCATAGAGTCCGGCGAGAGTAGCAGCAGTGACGGGAGCAGCAGCGGCAGTTTCCCTTCCTTCGATTCGAGTTTTCTTCATCGATTTCGAGAAGATTCATTGCCAAAATATCTAGCGTTAGCGTTAATTCGTAGATAAGGATCTTGTTTGTGTTAATCTTGCAATTGATTGTGGAATTTTGGTTGATTTGGTGTTGAATTGCTTGTGGTTTCGATTTGGGACAGTACAGTGGTTGGCTAGTACAGTGGACAGATTCGGCAGGTCCATTTTGGACCCAATTGGTCCAATTTAAACCCAATTGGTTCAATTTAGATCCAATTGGGTTGCTTCTTGTGCAATTAGATTTGAATGAGTTTAATTGGGCCAACCCGAGTCTAATTGGGTCAAATTGAATGTAATTGGGTTGATTTGAGTTCAAATGGGTGTAGTTGGATTGATTTGGGTTCAATTGGATGGTATTGGTCGATTGGGCCGCTGATGGGCCGGTTGGTGTGCTGCCGTGCAGCTGTTGGGCCGGTTTGGGCTGGCTATCCGAGGCAACAGTGGGGCTGCTGGGCGGTGGGCAGCCGCGTGGAGGGTTTGGGTTGTTGGTTTCTGGGCCGCTGGGTCGGTCCGGCGGGTTGTCGGGCTGATCTGGTGGAAATTGATACTGTTCTGGCGGCTGCAGCGAGCCTGAGGATAAATCCTTAGTCCCGAGTT